GCTATTGTCACTGCTCGTGTGTGTGTGTGTGTGTTCGTGTGTGTGTGTGTGATATTCTGCCAGTTCCGCCTCAGCACCCTCCTCTCATTGCTAGGCGCCTATTTAACCTCACCTCGCACACCAACCACCCTGCTAACTCAAACACACACCGGCACCGGGACACACACACCGACAGATGTCAGAGGGGTGACGATGTGAATGAGACACGGCTCCACTGCTGTGTGTGTGTGTGTGTGTGTGTGTGTGTGTGTTTATTCGCTGTACATGTGAGACTGAGGCCTGCCCCTCTGGTTGTTGCAGAGCAGGTGGAGGAGATTCACGGCGCTGGGCGTTTGCCAAGAGAAGCAGCGCACCAACAAATGCATCCGCGCACACGTTCGCCGAAGCGCAAACACACAAAAGCTGCCAATAAAAAGCAGATTTCATAAAGTGATCTAGACAGAAATAATATGCCAGTTTTGTCCTTCACATTATCACAGACTATCTCTCCTGTGCCTCATTTGTGCGGGGCTCTCCACATGCCATAAATCCTTTATTTCTCTGTTGTGCTGTTATTCTATATTTACACCTATTTGTTATGTGACGGCTCACATCTAGACAACCTTGAAAACGCTGCGATCAAGGCTGATAACTACAGGTTGCAATTGCACTTTGAAGACAAAACAACATTAATTAGCGAATAAAATGGAAATGCGGGCATCACATGTACGCTTGCCTCCGAGTTCGCCTGGGTATACGAGGAGAGAGAGGGAGAGAGAGACAACATTTCGTACATATTTCCATCTGTAATCCCTTTCTCTTTGCCTGTGATGGCTGTGCTCTGTGAGCTACATAAACAGGTAGCTCGTCTTGCATTGATACGGCATGTTTCGGTGCGTGACAGGTCATCTTTGTACTGGCGGAGTGTAACCTCTCAGTTCTCGCTAAACCTCCAGGATGCACGCAGCTCCTCTCCCCTCCATCTGCTGGTCTCTATGAAGTCTGCACCCGATCACAGGAGCTTTGACTGCAGTTTCTGTCTCTACCACATTGCAGTCATACCTAACCCCTGAGCCAGATCAACAGCACACAGGAAAGTAAAAAAGACATGAGTGAAAACACCAACAGTTTTTTTTTTCTTTTTAAGTGTTTAAAATGTGCCTTCAGCCTCTGGGTGCAAAAAAAAATAAAAAATTCTGCATATTTAGCAACGAGAAGCCCGAGAAGAAGTGAAATTTGAATGAAAAACAAAAACTGAACTGGCGTGCATGTGTTGTAAGAATATCACACGACTTATAGCAATGTAGTAATTATCCAAATGTATTGTTTTTAAATCGGATTTGTGGTAAATTTTGTCCCCAAGTGTTCCTACGTGTTCATATCCAGAAGAAAGAAAAGCAGCATAAATGGTCAAATTCTAGTAAAGTCATCGGTTTACATTCGCAGGAAATTACGTTGAATAAAAAAAAAGGTCCAAAACACGAACCAGAGTTAGTCGTAAGACATCAGAGTTAAATGTCACGTTTACAGTAAAATGTCTATAAACTCTGTGATTCAACCGTCTCCGTTTCCCCTGGAGGAAGAACCTTTTCCATTCCGGTTACCTGCGAGCGACACCAGAAAGTTGGAAAAGGAACAGAGTGGAATAGATGACAATAGTCTTCACGCTAAAAAAAAAAAAATCCTCAAATCAAAAGGAAATCCTCTCTGTTAAATAAACAATATCGGCAAAAAGAACACAAAAAGTTTGCCATTGGTTTAAAGCACCAGATCAGTGCAGGGAGCCACTTTTAGAACAATGGAAATCCAACACGATTATTAAACAGTTTTCTACCAAACAGACGTGGAGGCATGCGTGTTGAACTAGAGGATCTCTGGGTGCAGCTCCCCTTGCAGACTGATGCATTACTTTTCATCCATCCATCTAATTATTCCCTTAGAAACCTGAAATTTGAAGATACAAAAGACCGTCCCTATCTGTCACTGAGCCGCATTGATCTTATTGAAAGAAAATGTGGGTGTAGAGGAAACCCAATATAACTCATGCCATTAAATTCCACACAGCATTATTCACATACAGAATTGACAGATTTCTGTGAGACGTTTCTTTTAATCTTCAACTGTTGTTGAAGAAAAAGGGGGAAAAAATCCCACACTCCAGGCATCTCTCCCTTCTCCATATTTGCAGTGAGGTTAACAAAAAAGGCTATTGAAGTAGGGAGAAAAAACACAACCCCACCTAACTTGTTGATTATTAACAATGGGGATGGGAAGAAGACAGATGTGTTTCCTGTGTATCAGCGGTGTTTGAATTGTCAGTCTGAAATCAGCGCGGAAGCCTTTATCAAAGCAAAGTAAGCTGATCAGTTCCAGATGCTCTCGCTGTCCATGCGAGTCAATCTGCAGCACCATTTTTTTGTCAATAAATTCTCTTAATATTCCCAATTACAGACTGTGTGCGTGTCATGGGATGTGTGGGTACTCTGCATGCATGTGTATAATGATAGCAGGCAAGACTGCGTGCACATTACCGCGTGTGCTCAGGAGAATCCATTAAGCCTCGGCTGCCTCCAGCTCTGGCACACCGAGACACTCGCACATACTTGCACATCCTCAACAGATCGCCGAGCAGGCTCTAAACAAACTTACTGAGTTTGGTTGCAACTTCAGAACGTGCCTCCGACAGCGTTGGAAAGCAGCCGAGTACATTTACTGTAATTTAGGCACATTTGTACTTCTTTTTGTTGCATGCCAGCGTACATGTCTACCTCAAGACAGAAATATTGGACCTTTCACTAAAGCACCTTCACGACATCTTTACCTTTTTACTTCTGTCACTTTGCAAATGAAAACCACGGACACTTACTAGAAGGCCACGAGACACCAGAGGAGAACCCAGACACAGAATCTGACAGGATTTGAGTGAATGCATTTGATAAAACTAAGTGCTGCAGTTTAATTTGAGCTGCTAAGTTACATTTAATATGTTTTTAAAAAAATTAAAAACACCAATTAAAATAAGATTTGCCATCAAACCTGTGGGGCCAATAAGGTCAGCAGTTTTCTACTCAGTTATTTATCTACTTTCCAGCTCTATAGAACAATAATTCCTACGTATATAAACCAGGTAAGTTGATTAAAGTGATGTTTTTGCTTAAATTTCAGCTCAGCTATTTGGATTAAAGATGTGAGATGTGATAGAAAACCTGGAAAAAAAAAAACTAGTAAGTTGACTCAAGACAAATATTATTTAAGATCAGAAATGAACCTTTATGCTCGAGCACATTAAGCTAAAATGGTCAAATGACAGCTTACTAGTGCATATTAATGCATTTGTAAAAATATTACCTTACAGGACTGGGTGACACAAAGCCCCCCCTCAATCCTCCAAATCCTCACATTCAATGTTTATGATCTCTTGGTTATTTGAATAATTAAAATTTTCATCAGGATCCTACACTACTATCATGGCACAACGATCCCCATCCTCCAAGACACACAAGGAGGAGCATAGTCAGGACAAACAGGATCACCGAGGACCATCACAACCACCGCCACCATCAATGGCCGCCGCCTGCACGACATCAAGGTGAGCAAAACAGGAAGAGCTTCACAGGACCGTGGACTTCAGGTCTAAATCCAAAATCACAGCACCTCATCCATGAGCTACAGCTCAGCCGATCAATGTGAACAAGTATATAACTGGGGATGGACGATATATCGGCCGATATTAGTGTTTTTTTCTCATGCATCGGTATCGGTCCGATGAACAAATTTAAGCGATGATTGTCTAACATCAGCGCCTTCGTCTCTACGTTTGATATCGCTGCTATTTCACAGATGTTTTTACTTAAATGGTCCTTTGACGTTAAATATGTTAAAATATGCTTTACATTTGTTACATAATAAATAAGACTATGTGGTCTGATTTGGGCTTCTTTTGATTAGTTTTCTCACAGTGCTCATTTATACTCATTTTTCAGTGTGAACAAAAATTGAATATCGACATCGGTAATATCAGTTATCGGCGATATCATAAATCTTAATATCGGACATCGGTATCGACCGATATTAGTGTTTTCTTCTCATGTATCGGTATCGATCTGATGAACAAATTTAGCCTATGATTGTCTAACATCAGCACCTTCGTCTCTACGTTTGATATCGCTGCTGTTTCACAGATGTTTTTACTTAAATGGTCCTTTAACGTTAAATATGTTTAAATATGTTAGAATATGTTTAACATTTGTGACGTAATACAGAAGACTATGTGGTCTAATCTGGGCTTCTTTTAAATAGTTTTCTCACAGTGCTCACTTATACTCATTTTTCGATGTGAACAAAAATTGAATATCGACATCGGTGATATTGGTTATCGGCGATATCTGAAATCTTAATATCGGTATCGGCCAGAAATGTTAATATCGTGCACTATATATAACACATAGTACACATGACTGCAGCTGTGCATTATATAGGACTATTTCTGCGCTTATTTTTAAGGATTTTACAAAAAGAAATCATATCTTTGCATTTCACTGTATGAGAAAATAAAAACTGTTGAATGTAATTTACAGCATTTCAAGACCTTCTCAGATTAATTACTTTGGTTTAATTTCGGAAAACAAATGTTTCCTCAAATTACTGTAATCTAATTGACACAAACCCAGAAATATAACTATACTGCCTTTGGCCGCCAATACTTTCAGGTAAAAGACAACACCTGCACTTCCCGGCCTTCCACCTCGCATACAAGGCCGAAGACTGTGAGACGCAGCTGAAAGCTCAGGAAAAGGCCGCCTTGAGTTGCAGTGCTCCTCGGCTGTTTGTAAGTGAGTTTCACGCCTTACCTGAGAGAAAACACCCGGTAAATGTGGAGCTGAGCGCAGACGTGACGGGCATAGCGCAGCTCGGGCCGGCCGCGGGTTTGAGTTGGAGCTCCTCTGTTGAATCTCGCGGTATTTGACAGCTTCCCTCCACTGTTTGACACTCGCCCCTCCCCTGCGCTCCGGGAATGCTGGGTTGTTTACATTACTGGCACACGGGTCAGCGGTGTGGTGCTGAGGGGGGCCTAGCGGCGCAGAGGCTGTCTGAAAACACGTACACATCCCGACTGGCTCCACGGCACAGGCGCTCTCAGCGTGAAAACTTTGTAGCGCTCCGGCAAAGTGCCACGCAACAAGAGAGGCCCGCCGAGTCGACTTCTCTTTTCTTTTTTTTTTCTTTCTTTTTTTTTGTGTGTGCAGCGACCTTGGAAAGAAAGGGAAAGTCAAAACAAAGACAACCGCCATAACCAGCAGGAGAAACTCTCAACGTGAAGAAGGAATAGCTTAGCAACAGAGTCCCACTTCCTGGTAAGAACTGAGGCTAGCTGACAATGAACTTATGAAACTGAGCCACAGCTAATAAACCTCCCGTGAAGCGTTTCCCTCACTACTTGTTGACTTGTTTTGGGTGCTGACACTCGTATAAAGCTCACGGCGGCCACTTGTTGCTGTTAAAACACGAGTTTGACACTCAGCTGAAAAGTTTCTGCGAAGTTCGCTAGCTAGCTTAGCCTGTTAGCCTGCTAGCATGCCGCCGTGCTAACTTTAACTGGCTGTAAATTACACAGTCGACGCTGTCAGTGAACGGCAATAATGGCTCTTTAGCGGAATGATTACAGAGTGCTAAAGGACGACTTTGTCCTCACTTGGCTTTTTGTGCGTCGTAACAAAGCAGCCATGCAGTTAAAGCTCTGGTGGAAACATGACAACACAGTTTTCATGCCATGCTACTGCGTTACAATCGTATTACAGCAACTTAACACGTACCGAAAGAGGACTTCCACCACAAAAAACAAAAGTCAAAAGTTGATAAAGCTGCTCCTAAATACGAGACGACTTGTGTGATGCTGAGTAGCTGTCTGTCTTTGCTCTTGTTTTTCTGACGCTTGTTGTGGTTTATGTTTGTTTTTGATGTGGAGGCATGCTCGTCTGTGTGGGTCGTAATTCTCATGTTAAGAAGTAGTAAAACCTGTCAGAAGTGATATACCCTGAACAGCAAACATTAGTTCAGCCCAGCACATGTGTGATCTACATGGCATACTGGATTGTCACTGTCAATAGGAGCATTCTTAGAGAAAGCCCATCCAGCGTTAAGGAGAATCACATGCTGCCATGCAGATGAATACAAAGTCAATGAACTTATTAACTGGATGCCTCTTATAATATGTCTTCCTTGTATATCTCATCATTTCATCTGCATTTTACAAACTTAAACACAGTGAAGTATTCAGCTTGTTTCTGCCTGGGTCTGGCCCTGTTTGTTTGTGAAGGCTAAAAACAAACACAAACAGCTTGTGGATGCAAAATGTGGGTATTAAATGGGTTCTTCAGCTTTAACTTATAAAATCCAGTTGTAGAAATAATTTAAGCGTTTGAACAGTTGGTTTGACAACAAGCTATTTAATGACATTTGCTTGCACTTAAAGGAATTATTACAGCTTTTGTTTCTATTTTCTGACATTTTGAGCTTTAGATAATTGCTAATGAACATGAATGTTAGTTGTAGTTTAAAAAAAAAATCCAATCACATTTTAAAAAGCACAAATTTAAGATGAACACATTTAGGCTTTAACCTTTCATTTCTACACATATGTCAACATATACTAGTAGAACACAACCAGATGTAGTTGTGTAAAAATTCATGGCCACCTCTGCATTTCTTTTCAAACCTTTGACAGTGTGCACAAGTTTTACAGCAAACAAACGTTTCGTAGCCTTTGAGTCGTTTTGGAAAAGACTTGACCCGAGTGCTGCTTCCAGCTGTCTACTTCACGCTGTTTAACACAGCAAGAGTTATACCCATGAAAGCAGAGTTTATTTAAAAGAGAACTGCTTGTGGTTATAAAGAGATAAATCAAGAAGTCAAGGTTTTCTCAGTGTGGCTCGCTTTTTTTTTTTTTTATGTGAGTCACAATGGTTATTGCAAAACCGTTACAAACCGATTACATCCACAGGTTTTATTTGAACCTGAGGAGACATTTTGGAATTTTTTGTCTTTAATGCTAAATTATTATTATTATTTTTTATTATTGATAATAAAAATAAAGGTCCAAAACCAAGAGAAACAGAACAAAGAGTCAGTACAACTCAAAGGCACAACAAACAAGAAGACAAAACTCCATTTAGACTTGTAGGCTGTCTCATCTCTACTGAGCCTAACCGTTTTAGAGGCACCTACACGAAGGTTGAAAGCGTTATCCCGTGCCATTCTGCTGTCACTGTCGATCGCAGCCAAATATTTCAGGCGTCATACCATCACATTTGGCTACGCTGCAGAGAGATGATTCAAACAGGAGTTAGTGGGAGCTGACATACCTTGTTGACCCAATTATTACTCACTTCTGTGTTGCCACATTCGATCATCGTCAGAGACAACAGGCTTGAGTCTGCCAGCGTCATCAGGTGATTGAGATGAACACTGGCTGGCTCTGTGAAGTTGACTATCAAGGAATGTGTCATGAACCGGATGATCAGAAAATGGCTGCCAAATGTTTGCATCAGTCTCTGCGGTGAGGGATCTCTGCCAGTATATCCCACTTTGAATTTCAGCTGATGAGAGGTGGATCACTTTTGACAGGCTTTGGCAAAACTCAGTGGTTTGGCCTCGTTCTATTGTTGGGATTTAATAAGGACAGCCAGGCTAGTGGCTGTCAGCTTAGTCTGATTGAATGACAACTCCTGAGCATAGAAGTTGAAAATTATTAAATGAGGCACTGATAATTCCTTCACTTGATGAAATAAAACTGGCCCTTTAGAAGCACACATACATACATGTGTCAGGCTTAGACGGAGCCTGGGGTCAGATGGCCGTATATATATCTCCTGTGTCAGTGCAGTTTTAATAGCAGTGAGACTTCCCATTGCTGAGACGTTCAGAGTGAGAGCTAAAATGCCATTCATTGGTGTGGAGAAATCTGCTGCACTCACAGCAATGATTTAGCGCAGTGGAATTTACCAAATCGCTCAATCCTGTGAGAGTTTCCTGTTTTAGCCCTGAAGCTGGCCCCTCTGCTGGATTAAAGATCAGATGAGACATTTGTCATCTGACCACTTTAACAGTCATCTTGCCGTTGGGTTTTCACAAAGAACAAAAAAAAAAAAATATTGGCTCTTTTTTTTTTTTTTTCTTTCATAAGGCATATTTGAGAGAAGATGCTTCCTGAGGCCATTTTGAGCTACATTAAACACTGTCTTGTGCATGATGTCAAAGACCTTGGCCAAGCATTGTACAGAAACAACGCTGGCAAAGGTAGTAGATCATGATATGGGCTACTTTGGTGTTCCGGTTTTGGGATTATTTGCTCCATTATGAGATGATAAAAAGCAAGAAAATATAAACGAAAGAAAATACAAGTTTACACCTTCCCTAGGAAAAAAAAAAGAACTAGGAGTGAGTTTTCCCCTACCAGGCTCGGTTTGGTTAGAGTTTAGCGTAAGGTCTTTGGCAATGAGAGTGGGCTGTCTAAGCGGCTCCTTAGAACAGCCAGCCTGTCAATATTTTTCATATCCATCTCCCCTCTATCTTATGAAGGGTCACTGATGTTTCAAGCATTCAGATATCCTTGGAGGATGCCTCGCAGCTCCTTGTGTCACGTGAAAGTTCTCAATTTCATTGTGGCATTGATGCTTTTTCTCATTGGGCTCTATAGTGCTCAGGGGGAAACAGACTACAAAGACATGTAAACACAAAAATTACTGACCTAAGACCTCGCTTAAAGTTTATGAAATGCTTTCAGTGCCCCAGGGTCATCTTATGCCATGACCACACAGTATTGGTGGTTTATTTCACAGCAGAGGGTGTTGGGAAATAACGGGTTTATTCATGCCTTTTTTTATTTATTTTTTTTTCTTTTCACAACCTTGATCTTATCTCTGCCTCTGAAATCCTGCTCTATACGAAACTCTATTTATATGTAATGGAGCTACGGACCAATTAAAGTAATAGAGTAATTAAAGCAATAACATAAAAGGCACATTTTTAGAGCCTTTAAGCAGGAAAAAAAAAAAAAAGATTAAGTAAAGATGAAGAAGTAAACAGCTTCATTACGAACGCCTTTTCCTCGTACACACTGGGAAGGTTAAAACGAACGAGGCCTGCTTAGAAATGACATTGTTAATCTGCGCAGAAAGCGGGTAGACTTTTTTAATACAGACGATGATAAATACAGAATAATTTGTTGGTACAGTGCGGTTAGCAGTTTGCAATGATTTGGAAATATAGCTGTTGCAAGAGATAGCTGTTGCTTATTTGTTTCTGAACCAGTGTTTTATTCTTTTACATGAGCAGTCGGTTGCATAAAAGCGCTTCACGTGGTCTGTGTATGTGGTTGTGAGTGCACGAGCATCATACTGCAGGTGTCTAATACCTGTAGTTGTCTGTAGGTGACTACTTGTTGAGGAATAAGATGGATGATTGCCGTCTAAACACAGCTACCAAAGTCATGTCGCCATATTGTGAACTGTGCCGGAAAAGATGGCTCTCAAGCAGATCCTTCCTTTTTTTTCTAATCGCCGATCACTCTCCAGTCGTCCCCTCTCCCTCTCTATCTCTTTTGATTATCCACGCGCAAAAATACGAATCCCCCAGGATATAAATTCGCTTTCACAGAATAATTACAAGATGCTGTATGCCACTGTAAACACCACATCAGTGACAGTGACAGTATGCATTTGTCATGAGATGAGACAAAAGCAGAATGAATTCGCACTCATGAACAGAAACAGAGATTTTTTTTTTTTGTTTTGTTTTGCTTGCTGACTGTGCTATGGGCATTTGTTCCAGCCTCACCACAAATAAGCCTTAATGTTTCACACGGGATTTGCTGCCGAAGAGAGCAAATTTGTACGAGAGCATCTTGTTTTGACAGATTGTCTGTTTTACCCTCCCCCCTTTCAGTGTGAAAAGCTAGGGACATTTCACTGTCTCTGTTGCAGTCTTTTTTTGTTGTTGTTTTTTTTTTTCCGATTGCATTCTGTTTCTTTTTCTTCCCCATTTCTAGTGACGTCACAAGTAGTAAAATCAGTGCCAATTTAGGCCTTTTTAAAATGTGTATTCTGTGTTGCTGTAACCCATCGCTCTGTTAAAATGCCTCCGTGTGTTCTGTTATAGCATCAGAAGGAGTTTCTAATGTACAGTATTTTAACGAGTGATAAATTTGAAGCAAGTAAAGGTTTTACAACATGCTGTGTATATACTGAGATTTTAAAAAATCATTAGAAGCTGTTTATGTGGATGATTCTTAAACCTTTCTTTCCCATTTTCATGCTGACTGACTCTTTTGGATATTATGCAAATGTGCAGCTCTTTA